TCTCTCTCTCCACGTTTTCGGCCCCCAACCGCTTCGTTCCAACTGCTATCACAACGTATTGTTTCCATCAGTGCTGAGCAAAAAGGCACGAAGGTGAACTTGCTCAAACGAGCAAAAGGTAGAACACTCGCAGTTCACAAGAGGGAATAAATTACATACTTTCCTTGAAACACACCAAAAGACATAAAGGGACATGATGAATTGAAAAAAGAACCCCACAAAACAAAAACAGCAGCAGAAACAACAACAACAACAACAACAACAACAACAACAACAACAACAACAACAACAACAACAAGACACGTTCAGCTGAGCCGCAATTTGCGGGGCAGGCGGAAAAAGAACGGCCACATTACGCCAGAAAGCAGACAAACAGAGACACCAGTAATACTGAACAATAGAAGAGTAACGAGCAGACCACAACAGAGCGCCAGCAACAAGCCGAAGACAATAATAATAATAAAAAAGAATAGATAGAACGAGAAAAAGACAGACAGAAAAAAACAACATAGAAAGAAAGAGAGAAAATCATGTAGCGAATAAAATCTTAAAAGCTTTTAACGCAAAATGCCCTAGAACTAGATCGATCGGTCGGAATGAATTTGTCGCAAATGAAGAAGCACTCAAAGTTGCAGGCGTGGGGAATGAGATCATAGCATCGGCGGAAAGGGATCATGTATTGGGTATTCACCACATTATAGTCTGCTTCACTTAAGGCTTGGAAGCTACACAAGAAACGGGACACAGATCGGGGGCTTAACATGGTCCACTGGAGATAATATGGGCACCTCCTCTTCTCTTCCGCCCCCCCCCTTGCGCTTATAATTTGGACCTTACTTGACCTAGTATCCGAGAATGAGTAAAGGGAAGCACATAGACACAATAACGGTCATATAGTGCAAGGAAAAAAGCAAGACAGCCAGAAGCAACAGAGGGAATGTAAAGAAGTAGGACTTGACCTACGAGTGACGCCCCCACTCATTCTTCGTAGCGTCACATTTGGGTGGCAAAAAAACACCATACATGAAACACGCTTCTAACTTGAAGAATGGTTGATCCGCACCTACATGAATGAGCAGTCTTTTATTTTTAATCGACACAATTAAGACCATTTAGGAAGCGGGCTTCGACCCTGTCTGTCACAGCCAACCCCGCCCGAGAGTGATACAACATCTCAGCAGTAAAACCAAGATACTCAATAAAAAGTTTGATAGGTTTGGTAAACGTTTTACGGCGCTCGTAACTGTACAATCGCCCTGGTTTTATGGACTACTGGGGTTACATTGTAGAATGACATAATATACAACCGATGTACGAGAGAGCTTAACGGACTTATGTAAATGTGTGCACTGCATAAATTATGCACTACAAGGCACTTATGCTGCAGATGTATGCCAGGATGTAAGAGAGTCCAGCGCTCCTTTCTGACATCATTTCTGATGGAGTGTCTGCCTGTGCTTCTCTGTGCACGTATATAATTATATGGGGGTGGGGACCGTGAAAACGTATAATGAGCGTTTATGTGAGAAAAAGTGAGTGTGTGTGTGTATGTGTGTGTGGGTGTGTCTGTGTGTGTATGTGTGTGTGTGTGTGTGTGT